TTGGTATCCCTAGTCTTAAAGGAGGCTGAGCTAGTGTTAATCCAGGGCTAGTCAGCTCTGTGCGGCCAGCTCTTGCACGGACTCCTTAAATCATCAACATCTCCCGATGTGCAGTAGAGAAAAAATTTGGCCCAATATTTATAGCAAAGAATGATAAATGAAGGTCAAACTTTGTTCTGCTCATAGCTATCTACTAGACTTCTGTCAGTTCCAGTAAAAATTAATGGTTCCTAGCAAAATGGCTTTTATGTCCCAGAAGAAAACACAGCCCATACTTTCTACAAGCCCTGAATCCAGCCTGTCCTCTACTCTTGGGGTGGTTTTTGATGACATCATGCCTGGGTCAGATACTAGCAACTCTCAGATGGTACTCATTCCTGACACCACAGATTCATTTCTGATAAAACCACTGAGACATCTGATAGTTACCAAAACTCTACAACTAAATTTTTGAAAAGCTTGGGGATATAGCTCAGCATAAAGATTTTACGTTCGATCCCCAGTACCAAAATAATTAATAAGTTAATTAATTAATTGAAATTTAGTGTGGCATCATGTTTTGGAATTTGAAAGCTAGAAGAGAATTGATATTTCCTTGCCCAGTTGATTTTGCACACTATCATCAGGCAGGTAGGTATGTTGATGTGAAATAGCGTTGCTGTGACTAATATAGCTGGAAGGAATAAAACATAAATTAAATTAATAATCATAAGAAATAGAACCACAAAATATTTAGGTTAAGTAATTATATTCTAATAAAAATATGGATTATTTTCATCATGATATGTGAGTTTGAATAAGGAATGACTTATTTTGAATTTCAATTTTTAAGCTTATGATTTGCAGAATTGCAATTTACTGACTACATTTCCAAGTGCAAATTACTAGTTCATAAAAAATCTATTTCATAAATGATGCTGTTTGATAATACATATTTAATCCTAATTTTAATTAAATATTTATGGTACTATGGTAGCCTAATTACTACAAATGTGGTAGGTGTATTTATAAAGTTACTCTTATTGTATTCTTCTATGAATTTTTCTGTACAGGAAAATTTAGTTACACTCAGGAAAGTTTCCTTGCTTCAAAGTTTTCCATTTTGAAATATTTGTTTTGGTTTCCTACAGCACTGATTGGGTTTGTGGGAACTTCTCCATGGAGAAGTTTCTTGCATGAGAAGTTTCCTGGGCTGGTAAAAAGAGGACTTTTCCTGAGGCAGGAACAAGGATATAGGAAACACTACAGAATCTGGGAACTAGGAGAGCCCTGCAGAACTGTCCTGACCTGGGGGAAAGAGGCTGACACTTTATACTCAGTCACTATGCAGGTCCATGGCCCTGTGTGAGGGTATGCATTACAGCCAAGGGTACATATCCAAAGGAGTACATAGTGGCTGCTGCTAGAGCCCCAGTGACATGTGGCCCTCAGTTGTCATCTTCTCATGAAGGTCACTTTGACATATGAGCCTGGGAACATCACACATTCCCACGTGATCTACATCCATGCTTGTTTAATGTAGCAGTGCCAATGACTGACCTTTTTATGGGGTGAATTTTGTCCTCCTGTGAAGTTTCTATATGGAAGCCTTCCACCTCATAAAATCAGATTGACTAAATATGCCTTAAGAAGTGATTAAGGTTAAAAGTGCTAATAAGAGTTGTATTAGTCAGCCATATCATTGCTGAGACACATGAACCTGACAATCACTACTTAAAGGAGGGTGCCATGACTGGTACGGCTCTTGACATTCCCATGGAGTAAGATCAGGAAAGGATGGGAAAATAAAGAAAAAAAAAAAAAAAGAAAGAAAACTGAGGTCAGGTAGAACCCTCTTTCCTGATGGGAAGAAAAGAACTGCTCAACCACTGTAGTGCATTTATTTATACATTTAGCTACTTAATGTCATGTGACACCTCACTGCCTAGTAATATAAATGTAAGTCAACTTAAGGGTTAGTGTTTGGAGGCCTGGAATTACTTGTTCTGTAATTCATCATTGGTCGTCTTTGTTTTTGGACCTGGCTTGTTTTATTGATCAAATTTCAGCTTCAACCACTCCCAGAAGGAAGAGAGGTTTAAATTGGCTCATAGTTTCAGAGGATTCAGTCCATGGTAGGGTGACTCCAATTCAGAAGCATCCTGGTGCGAAATTATGATAGAATAAATATACTTAGTTCATGGTACATAGCACTAAAGAGGAAGGAGCTAGGACTAGATATAGACCCTAAATCACCCCCCATAGCCACCCTAACACACCCAGTAGTGTGCTTCACTAATCCTCTGTGAGAATTCCATGGCAATCGTATTGACACAGTCAAGCTTCATGATCACAACAGTGGACCCATAACTTCATGGAACTAGTGTCCTCATGAAAGAAAAAAGGAAACCTCAGACTGCTCTTTCTTCTATGTGAAGAAATGGCAAGAAGGCAGAATTTGCAAGAAGAGAGCCTGCACCAGAAATCAAACCCTGCTGCAAGTTTAATCTTAGACATCTTTGCTGTCAGAATTCTGAGAAAGTACACCTTGGCTTTTCAAGCCCTAGTCTGTGATATTTTGCTATGGAAGCCTGAAAAAATTAAGACATCCTTTCTCTCCAGTTTGCAAGGGTTTTGACTACATGTCTTTGATGTTAGAAATGGAAGCAATATAAGAAGGCCATCAAGAGCATGGAATTCAGAGTGGAACCACCGGCTACCCAACTGCAAAGAAAACCCCGTCACTTGCTGGAAGTAAGCAATGCATGGATTTGTCCTGGAACAAGGTATAATATTTTCACAGAGATTGGTGGGATTTATCAGTGATTGGAGAAACAAAGAGTAACAGTAAAATCAATGCAATCAGATTGCTACTGCTAAAGAAGGAAGATGAAAAGTTGAGATTTATTAATGGACAACACAAAGACAAACTTTCAACTCAACAGATTCCCTTGATAGTGTACAAAGGAAGGGCTCATCCTCTCCAGGAATAAGTCAAAAGCACTCAGGACCAAGACTAGGATTTAATCTTAAGAAGAGCTCGCCCTAGAAAATATTCTCATTCCCACCCTCCCTCTCTGCCTCTTCTCTGCTCTCAGATTGAGGTGCATTTCTAGCATTTTTTATAATATTTTAAAATTTTATTTTGTTAGGGAGTCTCACTAAGTTGCTAAGTGGCCCAAGCTAGGCATACATCGCTCTCCTTTCGCTTCAGACACCCAGAGTGCTCACAGGAGCACAGCTTAGATCCTAAACATACACAGTTCACAGTGGGGTTTGAGTTCCTATGAGAATCTGATGGCCAGTACTTTGACAAGGGGTAGAGTTGAGGTAGTTGGGGCATGATGGGAAGTGGATGGAAACAGAGAATAAGACTGTGCAGTCCTGTTTGTAACAAGCCACGGACCCATGTTGTGACCTGGGGATATAGAAGATTTGCACAGTTAACTAGGGTTGCAGATAGGATGGCCTGTCTTTGTTGTTTAGGAGCTCGTGATGTGATGTCTAGAAGAATGCAGACCTATTACTAAGTAGCAAATGCTGCTAGCATAAGCTGAAATCTTTACCAGGATAAAGTAGTAATTGACAGACAAGTGAAGAAAAGAAGTTAAAATTAATATTTAGGAGTTAGATTGTCCAGATCTTTTATAAAGATTCTGTTCTAGACTTCAAGGTTTCCCGTAGAGAGGTCCTCTCATTCCACACCTGGGTGAAACATTCCAGTCATTTGTTTTCTGTATTAGAGTACCTTCTCTTTCAACCAAAATATTTCATCCAGTGATCATTATTAATCCAGTGGTCCAAGTTCTTCTCTTTGGAGAGTGACTTATAAAGTCCCACAGGCAAGTTATCATTTAAAAAAACAAAATTATTAACAATACCAAAGCAACAACTTGAAAAATCTCTCCTTCTCTTTTTATGGACTAAAGTTACCTTATAAAAAAAGGAATTCTTAATATACACACTCAAGCTATGTTACACTCAGGAAACATCAAAAGAACAACTAGAAAAATGAATGCAAAAGTTATCAGAAATACAGGGAGAAACGGCTTGTGCATTTTCTCAGTTGATGAGTATGGTTAGGAGACATATAACTGAGCACTTATAATGACCAATGTGGTTCCATGGTTCTACTCTCAGGAAGAGTTGTACTTTGGGAGGGGGGAGTTAACTGCAGGAGTAGTAGCAGAGTGGGAGCTCTTTGGAGTCACATAGTCCTACCTCTGAGTTTTTCAACTCAGCTCAGAGATTGTGCCCTGTTTCCATACTTCCAGGGCAGTGGCCTTTCCTCTCTTATTTCCGTTCCCCCTCAGAAGATGCATGGTGGGCAGAAACTCTGCCTGCTAAGAAGTTTTATGCTTCAGATGGAGTTCGACCCCAGCACACTTGGATTTCTGAGTTGTCCTGTGATTGCATTTGTTTATTGCTTCAGGGAGAAAAACCACTGTACTCAGCTGCTTCTTCTATCAGCAAGATCTTATCGTCTTCGCCTCCCTGCTCCTCTGAACACCTCATCAATAGTTCACATCCTTTCCAGATTGCTTCATAAACTATGCTAGGTTTTATAAGAAAAGCTGTTCAATTCATGTCCAGAACAAATGATGGTTTGTACCATTCACGAGGCATTCACACTTCTACAGGCATCTTTTCTATGCACAGATGAATGGTCCCACACAGCCCCACTCTCCTGTCACTTTAGGGACTGCACGGGTGCCCTCTGGTGTCCTTTCCTGTTGCTGCTCATTAGTTCTGAAACACTGATTGTTCCTAGACTGAGCTGTTGTCAGTTCAGTTCTGAATCTAAACTATGCTGTACAAATTATTGCTGAACATTGAAGAAAAACTTGGAAGGAGTTAAACAGTTTAGAGAATTTCACAAGTGAAGAAATTGATAGTGAGAGTATAAAAGAATGACAAATAGTAAATAAGTTGCTTTATTTTATTCAGAGTGAATAATTCTTTGAATCTTTAGTGAGCAGACATTTATTGAACATTTGCAATGCATTATATACTTTGCTGATTACTGTTAGACTGGTATGTGTAAACACACGAGGCTCAGTATCCTTAGAGAAATCACATTCCCTGCCTTGATTCAGACTTTAAATCACCGTGCAAGGTGAGAGAGAAGGAATGGGAGACAGATGAAAAACAAGGCTGGAACTGTCTTCTGAGAAACTGACTTAAACAACAGATAGAGTAAACAGTGGGTGAGGAGAACTTGAAATAGAAAGGCCAGAAGATTGTAGCCTCAGGGGAGTTAAAAAGTTGTAAAGAAAGTAAAGTAGAGGGATTTGTAGGGTGAAATATGTTATCCAAAAGTTTCCTGGGACAAGTGAACAGAAGAATGCTACTAAGAACTTAGGAATTTTTGATCAATAGAGAAGACAGGTGCTGCAGTGGGACAGGGAATAAACACATGTCTTGTCATTTTAAGGTGGCTCTAGAATGGTGGTTTTCAGAGGTAGAAGATAGGGTTCTTTGCATGCTTGTAAGGAGTAATGAATGAATGCTGGGAAGTGTAAAATTGATGATAGTGAAACAAGAGAAGGGGGAGGGGTAGTTCCAATACAGTAATGCCATTATCACTGTACCTATAACCAATCAGAAAAGTGCTATTTTGAGCCAATCAGAGCTTTGCTGCATTAATATTTCATTTCAATCTTGCTGTTGTTCACAGGGCCAATCAGAAGTTTTTTCTCTTCAATTCCTCATTTGCATACAAGTGCAACCAATCAGAAAACACTACTGCTGATCCTTTATTTACATATGACAGGAAGCCAAGTGAGTTTTTGTTAGCATTTACACATAGCCTGATGCAAAGTTTTTGAAAGAGTGTCTTTCCCAATGCCTTATTTACATAAAAGAGTAGTAACTAGGGAATTCTGAATGTACAATACCCCTTTCCCTTATCCCTGGGGGTGCCATGAACCTTTTCACCTCCCTGTTTTCACTATGTAGAGCATTTCATTATTCCTTTGATAAATTTGTACTTTCTGTACAAATTTGTGCCTTTTCTGTATGGCTTCACCACTTACTTGTTCAGGACATTAAAGAAGCCTATGCGACACTCTGTGCAGTATCATTACTAGATGAAATGATGAAGAAAGTCTTTGTGGACATGGAATGAGATGCAGGCCAGTTCAAGTCTTCCTAGAAGAATGGATCTTCCTCCTGCATCTAAAATAAAAGGAGCCTGTTGCAAATCTCAGCCTGGTTGTGGGCAAATTACAGGAAAAGTTATCTCCTGAAATATTTAAAGAAATAGAGTGAAACAACAACGGAGTAATCTGTTAGAAGAGAAGAAGAATTTTGTCTATGAGATGGGAAGTAAGTGAATAAAAACCATAGACTTTTTCTGATATCAAAGATATTCTTACGTGGTTTACTTTTTCTCAGAGTGACCCATATTCAGGCAGATGTTTTTCAAGGGTTAAACTGAAAAGGTAAAATGAGAAGACAGTACAAGACATGGGTGATATATCAGTCAATACACCATCACAATTTCTTAGAGATCATTGAAAAAAACTAGATAAGCTGTATTCAAGCTGTGACCGACCTTTTGAGGGAAAGTCTTCATGCCACGAGTAAGACATCTCATGAGAACATGTTATTTAAAGTGTAAATCTGATATGTGGTTGGGCTATTGTACACTTTATTGTCCCTGTAACTTATACAGAAGAGAAGTGGAAATAAAAGAACCTGACTGAGGAAAAAGTTTTAGTACAAAATGTCTGACTACTAAAAAGTTGCTGTACAGTTTGCCTTTAGGGAGAAGCATGAGAATAAGGGATCAGGTGTCTTTTTGGCTGTAGATCTGAGTGTTTCAGTGGATGAAAAACTCAGGCTGAGCCCATTAAAGTGAGCAGAAAATTTGGTGGCCAGCAGAATGTTGAATAGATGAGATCAAAGGAATGTGAACCCAGGGCTCCAGGTAGGGCTTCCACCAAACTTTCAGCTTCTCATACGATTTAGCCTCTTTGCCTGGGCAGTCATGTGTGTTCTATTTCATCCTGTAACGGCAACCTATGCTGCCATTCACTTCCCACCCCACCTCCCAATGTGGTTACTATATATAGAATGTGTGCTTCTTTTTAAAAAAGATTTATTAGTATTTTATTTTTAGTATATGCTTGCATATATAATACTTGCATTCTATTTAGGGAGTAGATCCATGTACCTAACCCGTCTTAATTCTTTTTCTCCCCTTCTCCTCCCTCCCCTTGTCCTTTCATAACTAGTTCCCATTTCCATTTACAAAAATCTGTCTCTGTTTCCTACTGGTTATCTTACAGACTACATATTCTTTAGCAACTCCAAGATTCGTAATGAATGCTCATGTCTTAAATTTTCATACTGATTAGATTTTCCTCATCATTCTGTTGCTAGCTTAAGTAGACAAGTACTTTTCCAAAAAAATACAAAAATACAGAATTCAATCCTATTCTAGTTATTTCTGTTTCTTCTCAATTCTAAAATCTACATATATTAGTTTCTTAATAAATGTTATAGTGAATTGATCTGAAATACGTATTAAACATAAGATTCATAATGAAATTATTTTATTTGTTTTACCACCCATGTTTTCACTAGAAAATTTCACTAGATTAACAATTAAATACCTAACATTTACTAAATGTAGAGATTAAAGTTGAACATTTTAGTGCACTTTTATATTTTCTCAAACTACATTATCTCTGAAAGTTGATCTCTAGATAAATAAATTAAAAATAGATATATCTTGTTGTTGGAAGGTCTATTAGTCAGCTTTCTCATCAATGAAATACAATAGCTAATGCCCACAAATTAATTTTTGCTTTGCATTGCAGTCTGTAATCATCTGGGTCCAAGGCAGGAGCATCATGGCAGAAGCATGTGGGGTAGTAAAGCTGCTCAGTTCATGGTAGCCAGGAAGCAGAGCAGGGAACAGACCAGAGAGGAAGGGGGCAGGGACTAAGTATAGAACCTAAGGTCATGAATTCCCAGCAGTGTGATCTACCAACTCCCAGAGAAGATCCTAAAATCAAGGAAGTTGAAACACTGACCTAACTCCCAGAGAAGGGAATATACCAATTTGTTGATTGATAGTCACACTTTTAAAAATTTTATTTAAAGAGAATAAAACCAAACAAAATAAAACCAATCAAATGAAAAACAATTAAAGTGACACAGTACTTCAAAACAGGATAACAGGAAATCAACAATGGCTACCATAATTTCTCTTATCTTCAAAATTGCTGCCTATATCATCAGAAATAATAAACTCAAACAAAGCAGAACAGAATAAAATCGATCAAAACAGAACATTGAAGAAAGCAGAACAATAAAATGGACCAAAACAAAAGAGCGAGAAAAATACTAGATTTCAAAACCAAGACACAAGGAAATCCCCATAGTTGCTATATTGCATATTGTTATCCTCTAAACAGATGCTCAGACTACCAGCTTTAGGCCTGTAAAGTCAATCAAACAATGCAAGAATTAAGTTCTTTTTATTCCTCAGTTGCTATCAACTCAGCCTGTGTTCCTCCAAATCAGTGGGTTGCTAGGTTGTTACCTGCTTACCTGGGTTGAGGGGGTTCCTGTCTGTGTGTGTGCTGGGTGGCTCATAGGAACTGGCTTCTTGTTTCTCCTCTCGGGCTCCGCATGGCCACTGCCAGCTCGCAAATTAACTCCAACACTGTTTTGTTTTTATTATAATTTCATTTCTAAAGTATTCAATATATGATCACACTGCTACAAGGCATGAAAGAGTTAAGAATTTCTAATAAATGCTCTTTAAAAATTCTGCATGACATTTTGCGTTACAATTTTTGGAGCTTCGAAAGAGAACTTTATTTAAGCCGATGGTAATGGAAGAGAACAGAGTTGGAAAGACTGAAAAGGAATGTGCGCTACATCATATTTTTACTTGAAAAATTTAGAAGATGTTTATTCCAAGGAATTAAAAATAGATACATCAGATTCCTTTGCTAAAGAAACATCCTGATATTGTTTGGATGCTGTTGTCGTTGTCATTATTGTTGTTCCTAAGATTCTTAGAGATATTTCACTTTATTTTGAACCTGAAAAGTCAGAGTACACTGAATTCTCATAAATCAATCAAGAGGTTTTCTTAAAAGAAATAAAATGTTTATGATGGAAAGAAATCCTTGTATTACAAATTAAAATGCATGACATGTATTTTTAAAACTCAGATTTTGGAAATTTTTTTAGTGGCAGAGACTATTATACTCCAAAAAAAAAAAAAAAAACTTAGTCTTTCCAAAATATAGTTATAAAATAATTTAGGAAGGAAAAGATGGAGTCACTCATGTGAGTAGGCATGATGTTGTTTGAGAGGGAGAGTAATTGCTCATTCAGAGGATGGGTAGGGACGAATAAAACCTGAAACTTATCGCTCAGCGGGTCACAAAGGAAAGAAGAACATAGACATGTTCAGAAATACGAACAGGGATGCTATTGATTTTTCCATGTCATTTCCTATCCTGCTCCATTGCTGAACTTGGTTATTAATTCTGGGGCTCTTTTGGTGAAACTGATTGGGTCTTCTATGTAGAGGATTGTGTCATCTGCAGATAATAGCAATTTGACCTCTTCCTTTCTCATGCACAGTGCTTTTATTTCTTTCTCTTCTCTGATTGCTCAAGCCAATGCCTTTAATACTGTTTGGAACAGGAGAGGGACATCCTTTGCTTTGTGCTTCAGTGTAGAAGGAAAAATTTCAAGTTTCCCCCAATACTTGGCAGAAGCTTTGTCATGAATTTATTTTTTATCAAATTGAGATAAGATCTTTTTATGCCTATTTTATTCAGGTTTATATTTTATCATGAATGGACACTGGATTTTGTCAATCTTTTTCTGAATATAAGATAAATGCGAATTTTTCCTTGCTTCTGTTTATATGGTGTATTAAATGTATTGATTTGCGTTTGTTGAGCTATCCTGAGACACACAGCTTAAAGGCTCCCTGGTTTCTCTCACATGAAAAACTCCAAATATAAATAAAGAACAAAATAAAAGACGGATAATAGGAAGCAGAGAGAGAACTATTGTTCAAATGGGAAGGAGATCCAGAGATATAGGGAGGTGTGGAGAGAGTAGGAAAAAGAAATTTTAAAAAAATGGCAGGATGTGCTATGCCCATGCACCAACTCCTCACCAGGAATGTAAACATTATACACTTCAAACACAGACTGATACAAAATAGAAACAAAAAAAAAAAAAAAAAAAAAAAAAAAAAGAGCTCTAACGGATATAACAGCAAGTGTGTTTAGGGGTGTTAAATAGCTGACTATATTAATGTTTTTGGATTACTGAACACAGCTGTTTGCAGTCTCTCTGTTTGAATGTCTACTTTGTATTCTTTGATACTGTGATTTGAGCAACTATTTCCAAGATGATAATATGTAATCTATTAACAGGTGATTTCTTACTGTTATGTTTTTTTTTGTAGTTCTGTATTATGTGTAACCTTACACTGCTTTGTTTTGTTTTGTGTTTTTCTCTTTTTCCTCTTAAATAAAAAAAATAAAATAAAATACCATCAAATTAGTGACAAAAGGCGCTATAAAATATTTTGATAAAATATTTAATCAAATATTTCTTCTAATATATAACCAGAAGAGAGAAAAGAAGAAAATGATATTGATGAATTTATTTAGAATTGATCTGAAAGTGTATTGCAGGAATGTAAGAGATAAACAGGGCCACCAGGTAATATAAAAGAGGAAAGAACATTTGAATCTCAAATAAATAATATATAGTTTCTTCTGTATACATGTCTCATGTCACAATTGATTCTTCCTTATGCTAAAAATTATTTGTTCTTTATTTGAAATTTGAAGTTAATTAAATTTTTATTTGCTAAAAGTGATGCTATCAATATAAAACCTTATAAATTTTAATTAATAATTGCATTTATTCCCTATGACATACAAATAGGCATTATCATACAATGCTCAGTTCAAGTATGAGACTGTTTTGTTGTTGTTTATTTGTGTTTTCCTTTTTTAAATTAATTAATTTTGATGTGGAAAAACTGTAGCAGAGATTGGATCAAAAGCCTTTTTGCTGCTCTATATCCCCTTTTAAATTTTGACACAGAATTTCACTGAGTCTCTATATTGCCTAGGCTAGGCTCAGACTTTATTTCCTCCTGCTTCAGCCTCCCAGAATGCTAAAATTACAGTCATGCACCAACATACCTGGCTGGAACTAAGTTTTAAATGTCACATATTAAATTATGAAGTGGAGATCTGGTGAGATTAATAAACTGATACCACACAACTCAATTAAAAAGAGACAAATGCTGAATTGGAACCCTTATCTGTATGAGCCAAAGCTTAAGAAAATATTGAGCTAAATAATTATTAATATTAAAATGATGAAAATATTATCCCTTGTAGAAGATATTTGTATATCTCCAAACAATTTTAGATGTACAAACTACATAAGAATCCATTAATATCTAGTGTTCAGGTATTTTTAGTTATATTTTTATTTTTTGCTGTATCATAATTGAACTCTCAGAATTAATCTTTTCTCACTAAGCTGCATCATAGCTCTTTTTTTTTTTTTTTTTTTTTTTTTTTTTTTAGTTTGAGACAGGTTTCCATTGAGTTGTTAAATTGCCCAGGCTAAGCTAAACTTGTAAACCTCTTTTCTCACCTTCCCAGAGTTCTGGAATTAAAGGAATGCACCACTAAATCTGAAGTATAAGATTATTTTGAGGGTTTTTCCCCTACAGAATTAATTATTATCTGATATATAGAGACAACAAACATAATAATACAGTTTTTCGGAAATATACCTGAAGTATAGAGAAAGCAATGTTTACATTTAACCTCATTGCAAAGAGAAATTATCTGTGTTGTTGGATAAATCTGGATTATGGAATCTGTTTACTAAATCCAAATGTATATACTGAAATATGCAAATCAGATAAAAATGTGAATTACATGAATTTATTAACTGATAAAATTTTCCTCAACATCATGATATTTATTGGATAGGAGGGCAGACTATATGAACTTTTACACCAACAGAATTAGCATTTTGAAAGAATTGAGCATACTCCACTGAGCAAGAGAACCACACCTGCATAGCTCAGTCAAATGGCACTGTTGGCTTCTATGGCACTTTTGGTGCAAATTAGAGCAAAAAAGGTACTGATGTGAGGTGCATAGTATTATACCTACACATACATGCTCACACACACTCCTGCCAAACAGTACCAGCCCATGAGCTTTGACAAGATAAATACAAGTGGGATATGAGTTCTTGTCACCAAGCTCATTGGTGGAAACCACCAAATTTGTGGATGGATCAGGCAGGGACAGGTCTACAGCCCAAAGAACCCCAATCTTCTCTCTCTGTTCTCAAGGGGAGAAAAGATAAAAGGGACAGACAGATGAGAACTGAAAACTGCAGAGAAATCACAGTGGCCACACACACGCATGCACACACACACACACACACACACACACACACACACACACTGTCAGCAGTGAAAGTTGATTTTCCTATGGCAATTTTCAGGTGACTAGGGATACAGAATGAGCAGGACATAGGCTAGCAAGGCAAAGGTACAATACTGGAAATGAGAGATGATGAGCACATTGAGGAGTGTTTTAACAGTGGGGACAGAAGAAAGGCTTACCAGAGCTGCACCATGAATCTGCTTCTCTTTTCTCATGATTGCTTTCTCACAATCCTCTTAACCCTCAGCTAAGTGGATTGCAAAGTGGTCTCCTGCTAGTCAGAGGAACATTATTCTTCGGAGGCGCGGAGTTCATGGTCTTCAGGCCTACAGGTAAATGAGAGAAAAAGAGAAGTACATGTATGTGAACTCATAAAATAACTCAGAAAATAGTCACCAGTGATCGGTCACGTGATTTGAAAACTTGTGTTCATCCAAAATCAAAGACAATTCTAAAATAATATGTGAATGGAGTTAGGATTCAAAAGTAAAGTAAGTGTAATGTAAATGTCAAGTGACCTTTGATGTGGTTATTTTATCAAATTAAAAGTAGTAACACAAGAAATCCATTACTGTAAAAGCAAACAGTTGTTAGATTTACCAGGAAGAGGAAACTTCTTAATAAAAGTTTTCTTTTATTTTCCCTTATTAAATCCTTCTCTCTCTCTAATCCTTATCTCTATTGCAAGAAAAATCTGGAAAATGTATACTGATGCTCATGGATGGGTGTCATATAACAAGGAAGGGTTGAACCAGCCAGTGGAGGGCAATTCTCTCTGCTCATGGGTAAAGGTTTCACTGTGTCTCTTACAAACACACACCTATAGAAGGAAGAGAGTGACTCATTTTCCCCAATAGCCTTTGAATGAGAAACTTGATAAAAGTAGGCCTGAAACTGAAAACGATAATAAATCAAATCTGCTTAATAACATGTTCTTTTAGTCCCTTAGTAGTCCATAATTGCCCTTTGAGAAGAATGAATAGAGTAGTTTTGGTAACACACAAATTTAGAATACAGCATCCTGAAAAGAACCTCTATCAAAAATGATGATGATTGCTTTTAGAAAAAGGAAGCCTACTGAGAATGTAGGATGTTTCGTACATTGAGTTCCATACAGATCCGCAAACATTCCTTGAATGGTATCCGTCTTTAAGACCCAATGAACCCAAGTTCTTATTTTTCAGGCAATTCTCCAGCGAATTGAAAATGAAGAATCACTGATGGAAGAAGTCTTCCCTCTGAAAACTAATTTGAAATCTCAATGGAGTTTTTGGTTTACTTTCATTGATAATGATGTCTCAAGTCAGTGAGCTTTCCATGAAAAAATTAAAAACATATACCTTTCAGATTGAAGGGCAAATTAGAAATTATTATTTTTCTGCCATAGGGAATGCTTAAATAATAAATGAAACACAAGAAATGTTTGGTCACACGAAGCGTGGCCAGGTGTGGCAAGCTGGAGGCAGGTTACCTCTCTTTCCTTGGGAAGTATCATCTATTCAAACATAATTTTAAAGATCTTCAGTGGTTGTTGCTAGCTGCATGGAAGATTAGTTCTTACCAGAAGTCTAAAGCTGAATATCCTAAATTTGGCAGCGTTTTTGATGGCTCCAACATTTGGCAACAAAATGACATAAGCTGTCTAGGTGAATGCTCTGTGAATGCAAAAGAAATACATTTAAATTAGGCTGGGCAAGACAGGCAGGATATTGTGTTTGAGTCATAAAAGATGAGCAAGGGTTATATAGATAAAAATAAGGAGAGGAATGTAGTGATGGAGGAGGAAGGATGAGGGCACATTAGCTTCCGGTGGTCCCCTAGGAGCCGTGAGTTGATGTGCTGTATTCGATCTCATCGCTCTGGCACAGAGCTCACCCATGACACCCACACCCATGTCCCTACCACATGATGGCACAGAGGCACTGCATGAAGCCTGTGAGGTGTCAGCCCTCCCAAGGTTAGTGAGTGGTGGCAAGACAGAGGTAATGTTTAGGATCTCAGTGGCCATTTTCATTTTTGCAAAATTCAATCACCTGATCACTGGACTTACCCCTTGGACACAATGCAGAAAAACAGAATGATGTAACTAGATATGGTGGTGCCCACCTGTCATCCCAGCACTCTGGGAAGCTGAGCAGGAGACCCAATTTCCAGCCCAGTCTAGGCAACTTAAAATGAAACATTAAAAGGACTAGGGTTATGGCTCATTGCAAAAGACATGGGTCCATTTCACAGTACTAGAGAAAAATCTCCAAGCTATCCGTTAGCTAAATTATAGTCGATATAAACAAATCCTATCCTCAGTCTTAGAAAATGACCTTATTTGGAAGTTTGCGAATGTAATTAAGATGATTTCATTAGGATGGCCTGCATCCAGTGTGACGGATGTGCTTTTAAGAACAGGGAGAAATGAGCATGATCACACATACAGGAGAACAGACACGCAGGAAAGGCCGTGTATAACAAAGGTAGATTCTAGGGGAATAGCTGTGGAGCAGGGAATGTAAGGACAGCAGGCGGGTCACCAGGAGTGCAGAGGCAGCCACAATTTCCTCCTTCCCTTTCAGAGATGTGATCCAGGGACCACTTTGATTTCACAATTCCAGCATCTTATTCCCGTGAAACAGCCAAAGAAACTACACTCTTCTATCTCTGAATTAGCCAGCAAGCACTCGCTGGACATCTGGCAGAGATAGTCTGAGAATTTCTGCCATAAATAAGTTAACAAATTAAATCAGGAACTCAGCAGTGGCACAAATAGGTGCCATAAAAGGCATAGTGATAAGCAGAGTCTGAGGAAAATCAAGAAAAGCAGGGCAATAGGAGAGAAAATAGACTGGAGGCCTCAGGCGGAGAGGAATGAGGAGGAGCTGACCTCTGCCCACCTGTGGAAGGTTGGTTACCCTACAACCCACTCTGCAATATCTCTCTTTCTTTCCCGCCTTGCCAGATGAAAAGGTCATGTAATGGTAACTAAGACAATGTGGAGAACAAATCAATGAGACTCATACAGTAGTTTCAGAAGGAAGGGTATAGAGACAGCATGAGAAGTTCCCCTCCACCTGATGAACTCTATTTAATTGCATTCAACCCTGATTGTACCATTTCCTACTAGAAAACATGGAAGCCTGGAGTGTTCCACTAAGTCAGAGGGGAGACCATAGTTTAGAGGCTCACTGACCACCAAGTAATTTCACAAGTTAAAATCCATCAGCAAAGAGTGGAAGAATCTAGATTTCAAAGGATCTAATCAGAGAAACAGAATATCATGCTGGTTAAGATTATGACCCTAGAGATAGAATTCCTAGATCCTACTGCTTAGTATATCACTTATAAGATGGAAACTTGGAAAAGCCATTTAACCTATTTATATTCAAATTTATTGTTTGTAAAACAGGATAATAATAAATAACATCTCCACTAGGGTGAGATGACACTAGCATAGAATTCATATTATATGATATTTTTGGCAGAATATGTGATTTATTTTTGTCATAAAAATTTAAAATGCAATTTGCTAATTTTAGGAATCCCTCTCAGGTATCAAATGGGAATTGAGGTCTGCGCTTCAAAATTGAAATGCTTGTGTAATGCTTAGTAAACGTGGAAGAAAAATCATCTGCCCACCTGACAACCTGTTTTCTTAGTTGAATCTTCGCCAAGAGTTATTGCTTTTGATCGTCTTCAAACTGATCAACTCAGGAAAATCGAAGAGGATCTGTGTATGGCTGTTGAAAGGAGAACTTGAAATTACATAATGCTTAGCCAGACTTATCTTTACAATACATAGCTCCTCCTTCTCTTTTCCACATTCTCCTGTGCCCAAAACTGACAGCTCAACGAGCGATACATATTTTAAAAACCAAGAATCAGAAAACCCAAGTTCTTCTTTTATTCTGCATATTTCTGTAGACACTGTAATTCCATCAGTGTTCCCTTAGGATGGAAACAGGCTGATAAATCCCTGCCCTGCTTATTTCCAAGATATTTTATGAAGGCAGATGTGAAATTACTTTGAGAAATTGCATCGATAAATAAAGAGAGTAGATAAACTTAGGGAATCTATTTAGTTTTGCTGTGAATAAAATGACGCATATAAAATGTATGGGTTGGCAAAAAATAGGATGAGTTTTATAATGTATCCTGAATGATATACAAGCACAACTCAGTTTTTTTCTACTGCAGCTACCATACTATTATCATTATATTTTGATTAAGATGGATGAAGAATACCAAAAGACATTTTTAAAGAGACTTTGCAAAATGACTGTCAACAAACACATGATTAATGGTCAAGTCTCCAATAATATAGTCATCCTCATCCTACAATTAACAAATCCCAACAACTTCATCTCTGCAAAAAAGAATTAGTTCTCAGTCATGGAACAGGTCTTTATATATCCTTAAAGGAGCACTAAAACATGGATATCATTTTAATTCTATAGTGAAGCCCTCCATCTTTCCAGGGAGGTAGTTCCATAAAAGCTTAGATTTGAACTCAGGGCTCTTTAGAGGCAACTCCAGAACCCATTCCATGCTATCACCTGCACCAAGTAACTAGGCTTTCTTGTGTGAGCGACGTCAAAGTGAGGAAGCCCTTGAAATATTGTAGGGTCTTATAACATTAAAGCAAAGTGAAAAATACTTATATTAGTTATACTAAAAGCAAAGACTAGAGGTACTCAGCACTAACAGTGCTCAGCCCAGACCATGTATCCTGGAAAGGCTAGGCTTTAAAATAGGTCTCATAAGAAAATCAGACAACAGGAGATAAGTGGAAAAATCTTTTCACAAAATTTCATGTCCCAGAGGTGGCAAATAGCAACTATTCGGGTGATGGCATAGCTGATGTTACATCGTTTGATGTTTAATGGGAAATAGATGGTAAAGCTATAACACTGGTTTTGCCTTGATGCTTTTCCTCTGGGCACCTATGTTCAGAGTTAGCAGACATCATGGATTCTCCCTCTGTCCTGCACAGGTTAGAACTTTAACACTGAAACACCTTGTCCTTCTGCCTCAATGAGTAAGCAGCTGGAGCCTGAAATGGAAAGTGTGCTGCTGTCTCGTGAAATGCACCACGACCATAATGCTCTGCACAATCGCGTTGGAAAGGTCACCGGAGTTACACAAATCCTCTTGCAGGCATTTTATGGGGAGAATGCTGGGTTTGAATTTAGAAGATTGGATGCAAATTCCAACCCTAAGAAATACACTGTAGGTTTGCCTTCAGGTAAGGCATTTAGCATTTCAATTTTGCTAGCTTAAAAATTAAAACTATCGGTATTGAAATTAACAAATACTTCTGTGTCATATAATTGATAATGGGTATTGGCCCAGGCCCACGGGCTAAAACTGGTCATGTTTTTGCAAACACAGAGATCTACTTGCCTCAGTTTTCCCATTGTGGGATTGAAGTGTGAGCCCTCTCTCACGCCTGGAGAATTGAGCAGTTTTTGCAGTTTTTGGGTTTTGCCACCTACAAAACCCAAAGCATTTATTACGCGTTCCTTAATAAAAATCATTCCCAAAGTCAGATCTATAGCCTGGACCTCTTCTTCCTCACAGCGACACTGTGAGGTGCCATGATTACAGTCTTATTTTGCTAATGAAGAAATCTGAACAGAGAGATGTTTAGCAACAGAGCCCAAATTACAGGGCCATGGAGTAGAGTAGTTGGCACTAAAGTGATTACAGCACTAAAACTGGAACATAATATTTTAAGAGGTGAGAAAGCACATTGTGTGTAGCTTAAAGACTCATGAGTCAGCCCGGGAGGCAAAGCCACTCTAAGAATCAATTTATGAAGCTCTACGGGATTGGCTTCACATCTTGGCTCCTTCGCTTCCCTCTCTGTGATCTCGTGCCAGCTATTTAATCTGAGTCCTAAATTCCTAATTTGCAAATTTAGATAATTATACTTACCTTGCATAACTTTGCTGTAAAAATCGAAGCAAGCCAGTGTAAAACACCGAGTGAAGCGTGATACATGGCGAGTGATAAGTTCAAGGGACTAATTAATCTTCATTTTCATAAGACACTTATTTACTGCTCCCAGGGGTTAATGCTGCGACTCGGTTCCTTGCTTCATTTCCTGTTTTCTTCCTTAAGCAATGAAGAAAAGGTAAGAACATGTCTATTTGTGTCTTTCCAGTGTTTGGCCCCAAATAAGAGCCAGTAACAATTCGTTGACTGGAGGACCAGTTCTGTAGATCTTGTTTCCCTTTTTTTTGCAAGGGCACATTAGACAGAGAAAATGTTCTTCTGGCATTGTAATGTTTTGGGAATGTAAAGAATGCTGCTCTGTTTGTTGGTTCTGTATTACGGCTAAGTGTGGGATTTATCACCACATCGGGCAGTCAGTTTATTATAGTTATTTTTTATTCCTTCTTGGTAGAATCAATTAGGTAATCAAGATGAAACATATATTTATTGTTGGATTCAGATATATGGCACATTATTTCTTAAAAGACACTTGCAAATCACCCAGTAATGTGGAACCATCAGAATCTTAGATTTTTGAAATTCTGACTCATTTTACTGGGGAAGAAAATAAGCTTATACTGCAGGTTGTGAGTTGGTTCTGTTACACTTTTGTGAAAATTTCTTAAAATAATTTTTCTTTTATCTTCTTAGACTATTTAAGTCATTTAAGAGTGATTGCCTTCTCATATACCACAAGACTGTAGATTAATTTGTATTTTCTGGTCCACTAAACAGCTGTCAGTGTTAGTGAGGTACCCTTAGGTCTCAGCCCTCTCTCACCTGGGAAATGGGCTCCCAGTTCCTCCCTGACAGATTTACTAGGGGGATCAATTGAAATAACCCCTGCAAGCCATCTAGGGTTGACCTGATTACACCACCGATCCCACCACGTGGTCACTCTTTCATTACGATTCTTTGCTCCTCCAGGGTGAGCACTGAGTTTTAATGAGTAACTCGCACAGATTATTATTTCCAGAATAAATTAGATTGGTGACAAAAGAAAACAAACCAAACCAAATGAAAGCCACACTTGGTTTTATCGCATGTATATTTACTGCTGCTCTCCATAATTATAAGCCTTATGTCCCTAGGTGGTTTCTACCAAAATGTTGCAAGTTTTTTATGTATTCCTACTTCCGCAAGAAGTATCTCTTAGATTACTAATTACTAAGCATGTTATTTTTCAGGTATTAGTGCACATAAAATATAATATATTTATGCTAAGGATTGTGTACTGGTTAAACTTCATGGAGAACCTGACTGGCTTAACGGACTCTTGGTGTGGTGACTTGATTATAGGGGTTTTATACTTTCCAATGGATTAATCCATGCAACATTCTGTTAGAGGTGGGGTTATGTCAGAAGTCAGTCACTGGGAATCCTGCTTTTGGAGTGCATATCACCATGATCTCTGCTTTTTGAGTGCCGTGAACTGAGCAGCTTTGCTCTGTCACCACTCTCTGCCATCATGCTTCTGCCTCCGAGCCAGCTGACCATGGGCTGAACCTCGTGAAACTGTGAGCCAAGTTAAAACTCTCTTCCTTTGTATTTGGATGTAGGGTATTGTTGTCCAAGTGATAAGAAAGTTAAGCCAGCTCCTATCTTTTTTTCTATGTCTTTTTATGCTTTTTAATCTTATTTCCAAAATATCTCATTTATAATATGCATTATGTATCTATCTATACATGTTACTGTCATTACTCTTTGAGATACAAGAATGACTCCAAAAATTTTAACTTTAGTTGATATGAAATTTCGTTGCTTCAACTACGTTTTGGCCAAATGCAGAAGGAAGTATGGGGAGAAAATAAGTTGATGATTCTAGGTATGGAATTCTTAGTACACAGGATAGTGAACTATCTTGTGTTTTTTTTTTAAAGAAATGTAGACCTAAAAATAAAATAGTGATTATTAAGAACTGGGAAGGATGCCAGAGGACAGGGAAGTCAAAAATGAGCATGCAAAAAGGATGACTGGATACAATTAAAGCAAGGTATAAGCAAGTATAGAAATGCCATACCAAATCCCATTAATATATACAAGTAAAATGTGTTAATACAAGGTTTTTATTTAAAAAGTGAATATAGAAAACATAACAAAAGCATAAAGAAATAAAAGAATTTTTCTGGTGTAATAAAGATAAGTTTCAAGATACAAAAGTTTTTGATCTGATATTTAAAATATGAACACATTTTTCCCAGGAATATAAACTTGAAGTTGAAATTTTGAAAAGAGACAGAAACAAACACACAGTTTAAGATCTGTGAGAAATACTATTGTGTTCTTAAAAAGTAAATAGATTTCTATTGTTTTAAACTTTAAGGGCTAAAATGCAAAAGTTAATACTAACTTGAGAGGCAGATCTTTGTTTTTCCAAACAGTGGGTTTCATTTGGTCTTGATAATGAAGAGCTTATTTAACACTTTTGGGAATCATTATGCCATGACTGTACTTGCCTGATGGAAAGATGACTCCCACTATAGGAAGGAGATTTATTTGTAGGATGCACTGATAATAACAAGGTTGTCGGTGTAGAGATGGTTGCAATAAACATGATGACAGTCAGTGATAGCCTCAGGGAAAAAGTGATACATGAACCAAGAGATAGCAGCTTTACAGTTTTACAACTGACAAGAATAGAAAGTTGACTAAATACATCTGTGAATGATAAAAATGACACAAATCAAATGCCTCTGTGACTTGGGACTTTCCCCACGATGTTTCAAATCCTTTCTCACCCATACTGTACTTATTCTTCTTACTCCTGCCAGCTGTAGTTTTGTCACAGTCTCTAACAAAATTTACTTGATAAATATATCTTTGTCAAACGAATCACTTCTGGAGTTGAGTCCCGGATGGAGAGTAGGTTATTAGATAGTGATGTGATGCTGGAGGAGTTCCTTTGACCCCTTGTTAACTGCAAGTAATTCTGTGTCTGTAGCAAGAGCACCAGAAAGAACTGGGTGAGAGCTTTTGGATCAATAGCTTTGATAAGACTATTTAGGACATCTAAATAAGGAGTGCAAGGAACTCTGAGGATTAAATACTGCTTTATTTCTATTTTGATGTTCACATTCTGACCCACCAACCTGACTTTGCCCTTTCAATCCTCCATTTCCTTCTGTATGGCCTTTTATTTTCTTTTTCACCCAGGAAATAACATTGGTCCAGCTTGTAAGGTATCATTTAAGTGCTCTCCAACTAAGCCAGCATGGTGATAGCCGGTTTTTCCAATGCTGGCCTCCACTGAGCTGCTTTTCAAAGTTAGATTATGATAAATATAAATTTTTTACATTCTATTGGTGTTACCATTATCACCAAAGGTCCTATACATTTAAGGAATATAGTTAATCCCACTGGGTTTTTAACTTCTAAAATCCTAACTCCTTTGTTGTACGAAATCACACAAAGAAACTTTCGTTAGCATTTAGAATATGAAAGATTAGAGCAAAATTTCAACATCATCAGAATATCTCATTGAGGTCACAATTAATGTTTCAAGCAATCAATTCTGATATCTTTGTGGACAAGAAGTTAACTAGCAAGAACAATGCAATCACATCAATTACTTCTTGTACTGCATTAAGGACATATTTATTATTATTCATAGTTTGATTCAATGGATATTTCTTAGATTTATAGTAATTCCATTTAAAATTCATTTGTTGGATAGATCCAAAATTTAAGTACAACTCATTCCATTGAAATCAAAGAAGATTATACTGACATACTTAAAATAGCAACAAAATATTTAGCATTAATGCAGTACAAATATGTGTTAATTTTCATCCTGAATTTTAAAATAGCACCACAACTATTCTTTTAAAATGTCATTTTCTACTGAAATGAAATTTAAAAATCTATTGATTGATTCTTTTTCGTGATTCATGTGTTTGGCAATTGAAAAGACCTCTTTTTTGTTCTCATTTATCACATAGCTGCTTAGGAAAGGCCACATGTCTATAAGAAATTCTATCTGAGGATTATTAACTGGAAATACCATTTGACCCATTCTGTAGTGTTTAATCACAAATTTAAATTCATAACTTATCTTTCTGTGTTGGTATTCTTAAAACTTTTGATAAATGTGTCTAAATTCATTGCAGAGGTATAATTTGATATGAAATACATAGTGGAGTCCTAAAATCACTGAAGCAGTACAGTACTTAAGAAAGAAATCAAAAAAGATCCAGAGGAATTGTCATTAATGTGCAATATCAGGCAATGCTGGGAAGATAAAGGAAAACTCCAAATTTACCTAGAAAGAGGACAGTTGATCTAAAAACATTGTTTTAAAAGATACAGAGGAGCTAAGAAGAAACAGTTTGAAATTTCAGTGCTTAATTCTCTCCCTATCATCTAGGAGCAATTTATTTAAAATAACTTCTAAAATTTTATTGAATCTTAAAATTAAAATATTTCTTCAAGAAAAATACCTGCTTGACTTGGTTTTAAGTGAATAATTACACTTCCACAGTTCAATCAGATAGCCTGAGATTTAGAGCTATAAAGTGAAAGTACCAAGCCTCATCTGTTTTTATCTCAACCACAGTTGGCAGCGACAGCGTCTGGCAACTGCTAGATATTAACAAATGCTTAATGAAGGAAGGATGTTACATGCCTGCTAGGTTTCATGAGCAGCTACCTTCCCATTCTGCACCTTATATACATATTTATCTGCAAATAAAACACTACCCAATGTAATCAGTGAAAAAGCTTGCATTGAGCATAACATCAATGAAAAGCTCGCACACAGTGAGCTAAATAAAAACTTCCCACATAGTGTTAAAAGTGCCTTTCCAGAGAGTAAAGAGGAGATGGGAACACTCATAAATAAGGTCAGCATCCAACTTCATGTTAACCTAGTCAAATATGCTGGATAATGTCAAAGGAAAACTCCAAACACACTTGGGCTGCATCTCGACCTTACAGAATGATCTGAGGTGAATTTCAGAAAGAACATTACTCTCAAGAAACACTGCTGAGAATGGGTAAAACATTCTCTTACTAGCTTACTCAGGAGGGAAAAAAGTAACAAAGTGGGTATTAAGGGCAGAAAAAGAAGAGTAAGAGATAGACATAGATAGATGTAGAAAGTGATGAGAAAGAGACAGAGAGAA